AAATGTCATATTATCTACATATTATTATCAATGTAAAAAATGCATAAGTAGTTACGTGTATAAAAATGAAAGAAAATATAATATATAACATTATACGATTATTTTACGTTTCTATGACGCTGAAAGTTTTCCATTTCCAAGGAGTCTTTATCAAACTCTCGATCATTAGGGTGGTTGTATTTATGAGATCGAAGTATTAAGTTATGGGTGATACTTGAAAAAAATCTGCTAAGAGTTTTGCACTCCATCCAAAGGTTTGGTACAATAAAGTAATATTAATGTGTCGACGACTGTTAATATTACTTTTATAACAAAGAATATGCCCATTAGTCCCGACACAAGGGAACAGGCCAATTCTCAAATTTGGCATGTTGAACGTAGGAATCAGCTCACAGCGTCAAATTTTAAAACTTCGAAAAACTACGTCGTGCAAAAATACTGTTTATAGTATACTATATAGGACATTTTCTTCGAAAGCAACAGATTATGGCAAAGCCACAGAATCACAAACTATCGTCGCGTTGGAAAAAAAATTTAATTGCACAGTGAATAAATGTGGACTTATTATTGATGAACATTTTCCTTATTTAGCAGCTTCTCCTGGTAAAATATATTTTAGTTATAAATATTAATTGAATCAATACAACTAAATTAGTTATTTCATAATTTATAGACGGTCTTGTCAATAATGAATTTATAGTTGAAATTAAATGTCCATATGCAGTAAAAGACACTAAGACATTTTTAGAAGCTATAAATAGTAAAAGAGTAAGAGTATTATTATTTATTATAGTGTGTATAAAACGATTCTCCTAAAATATTTCAATCGATATACTTTAAGATTTTCAAGGACCAACAAGCGAAGAATAATATTTTTAAATTAAAAAAAAAATAATTAAAATCATTATTCTCCGTTTCATCATCTAATTTCGTCCAAATTTTAACTTAAAATATCTATTAAAAAAAAAAAAAAATATTATTACTTTATACAATTTTGAAATTTTTTGGTTACAGTTTAAACTAATTATGAGAAACGTGTTTAAAATTATCACTACTTAGCTACCTATAACAGAACATTTGATAAGTTTTTAACTACAAAACATTTTACAAACAATCGATATTTTGACGAAATTTGTCAAAATTCTTACTTCCGACGCTCATAAAATATTATTGTGAATTAACTCTCAAATTTTTAAATTACACTAATAACATCTTATAAGTAACGTTGTGAGTAACCTTGCACAAAGACACAAAAAATTAAAAATTAAAAACATACTTCATTGCAAATCAATACATTAATTGCTAGCTCTAACTTTCTAAGTGTAAAATGTAAAATATTTTTATTATAATATTTAATTTCAGTTAACTTTTTGTCGTCTCAGTGAAGACGGGAGAATGGAAAATTAAAAGTGGACCATCGCTACTATTACCAAGTTCAGGGACAAATGCATATTTCAAAACGAAATTCCTGTTATTTCGTTGTTTATTCGGCCAATTGGATAGAGATACAAATAATTAGTTACGATGATTCTTTCTGGCGCGAAAAAATGATTGAGAAGTTAAAAGTGTAATATTGAACATGATTTTTTTAATTTATATTTTATAGTACCTAATTGGATTTTTACGTAATTACATAAGCATAATATCAAATTTTATTTTCAGTTTTTATACAGAATGCTTACTTCCAGAAATAGTTAATCCCCAATACGGAAAGAGGCTGTTGGTAGATGACATTTTAGATCCTCAACATATTTTGGAAAATATAAAAACAAAAACGGCAAAAAAAAAAAATAGTGTACCGCGATTAATATTCATGTAATATGTAGGTACAATAATCATTACTATTTACCAGGGATGGCAAATCCATGGCACGCATAGAGTAATAAAACTATAGAGGCGGCATTAGGCAGATATTATGATTATCAGATCGAAGCAAAATTGAACGCCATTGTACCCCTCTTACAACTCTAGTGAACACTAGATGGCGTTTTCGACCATGAAATTAAATGGATAATCGACATTATATTTTATTACTCTACTATGGTGAATGGTGATAACTGATAATAAATGATTAATGTTTGATTAGCATTAAAAATTATAATTTTAATTATAATTATAATTTTCAACTGTATTTTAAATTTTGTAAAATTGTAAGTAACGCGAGTCTAGCCTAAAATCATCATGGTCAGCTGTATTTTGTGCGCTCGGACTCAGAAACAAAAAAATGAAAACGAAAATATTACATTTCACCATAATATTATTATATATTTGTATATTATAATAAGAACCACTAGTATATATATTTTTTTGTAAAATTTGTTCTTCTTATTTTAAAATTAATTTTTATTATTCCTAATAAAATAATGTGTTAGTATATTTACAACAATTTATTTTTCATATGATGGTTGCACTGCAAGTACCC